TAAAAAAAAAAATATATATATAATATATATATATATATATATACTAGATGTCCGGACCCATAAAATACGGGTCTTGATAAATATATTCCACACAGACCTTTTCTATACTTATTCCTTACTTGAATATTTTTTAGTAAGCGGCAGAAAACTATATACATATAGAAAAACTTATTGTTTACTTTTATACATATAGAAAAATATATAACTATACTTAATGTATAGTTATATATTTTTCTATATTTTTCTATACTTAATGTATAGTTATATATTTTTCTATAAAAACGAAAAAAAATTAAATAGTTAACTTTAAAAAGCTTTAAATGTTTTAGTAGCCGTTTCACGAATCGCTGTTTATCAACCCATGGGATATTAGTATCTGTCTAAAAAATATTTAAAATACCAGCTTGAAATGTGTTAATTAATTACCATTGGTTTAAAAAATTTCAAAAAACAAGAGATGACATAAATATGTGGAATAACAGATGTACCATTACCCATATACTGGTCATGATAAGTCTAATCCACTCCACCCATTTTACATGTACCATTACCTGTATACTGGTCATGATAAGTCTATTCCACTCCACCAATAATTTTGCTTTATTTCAATAATTTTTAAAAAAGAGCAAAATATAAAAATCTTTATTTTGAGGTAATGATTTATTTTCAATACTTTATAACTTCTACAAAAAACAGAACAAAAAACAAAACAAACAGGGAGAGACCTTTTTATTTTTTTCTTTTATAATTTCCTACTAATTTTTTTTTAGACCATTTGCAGCTTTGGGCTCTTGCCCTGTTAATTTTGAAGAAAGGTAATGTTTGCATGAAAAATCTTTTTCTTATAAGAAAGAAAGATGTCTCTTTAATGCGCATTAAAAGTGTAGGCTTAAATAATTACTGAAGCACATTAATAACGTAAGTATTTCTATCATAACATATGCACAAAAAAATTTCCATTGGTGTTTTTAGAAACTTTAAACAGATTTTTAAAAAGTTCTCTTCCTTTTGTTTGTTATAGTATGTAGTATCTTTATATATGCATATTATACCCATTTATTCAATTAAAATTCAAATAATATATACTCAATTAAATTTTCAAGTCAAAGTAAATCTGTAAAACTTGATATAATTTACATAACATGAAATTTGCATGTTAGATATTTGCATAAACTTTTTTTACATAGATAAACAAATCATTACGGAATGTGGTTTCAAAAAGACACCAATAGCTTTGTAAAATAAATGATATTTTTATTTACATATTTATTAACAAATTAAAAAAACATAGCAATTTTCAATAGTTTTTATTTGTCTAACTCTATTGAACAAACACATTATCTGTTTAATTTTAAAAAATTTAAAAAAGAAAAAAATACACCACATGTATTAACTGGAAATCAACATATTTATACATAATAGCGAAACAAAATATTTAAAAAATTTTATTTACAAAAAAATTTAACAACATCTGCATCATCAATCAACAATTGGTAGATTAACTACAAAAATACTAATTAAGGTCAACTTTAGCTTCTATAAACAGGACCGCCAAGAAGGGGCAAAAGGGACAGTTTGTCCATGGTGGCAGATATCCTAGGGGCGCCAAATGAAAAGAAGGTACCCAAAAAAAATAAATAATTAAAGGTCCTCCATCTATAATATAGTGAAATTTTAATAAGGGTTATTTATTAAAATTTCGCCAATCAGGTTACTAATCACCTCTAAAATGGAACATGTTTCATTAAGGAAGACATTAAACAATTGAACTTTAGTAACTTTTAAAGAACAGTTTAAAAATTAAAAAATATTTACAAATAAAATTCAATAATTATGATAATGATAATAGAAGATTCAAAAATATTTCAGAAATTTATGAAAGTTAAATAGGAAATACAAAAAACTTAAAGTGTGCACATCTATAATGCTTTGTACATTATTAGTTAAAAGTTTCTGAGCTGACTCTTTCAATATACAGATATAATACTATTTCGATGATTATCTAAATTCTGTCATTGTTGCGCACTCTGTTTAGAATGTTAAACAGGGGCGTGGCAAATTAGATGTAAAAGTTTAAACTTCATTGTTACCGTAATATTAGGTATTTTTATGTTTTTAATGTTTTTAAAAATTAAAATTAACTTTAACAAATTGGTTTATTTCAAATATAAAACTAAAATTTTTAATTATGTTATTATTAAAAACATATTTTTTACACCTCCTTACTGTTTTAAAAAAGTCGTTGTGTGGCAAGTTCAAATTATCCGATTGCTTTTTTTTTTTAATTTTTGTTATTTAAAATGCAAAACAAAACAACTTTTTTTCTAAACAAACTTCTTTCTGCAAAATGATTTTATTTTGTATTTTAGAAAATTTCAAAAAGATTAAATAAATAAAAAAATGTGAATGATCGGAAGCGAACCACTGCCTCCGCATTAGAAACCTAGCGTGCTAACCGCTCGGCTACAAAGGCATATTGTTCAATTAAAGTTTTAAAACTATATAATAAATAAAAGACTTAAATAAAAAATTATATATATAAAACGGAAATAAGTGCTACAGATCAAAGATCTCAAGGAGATGTTGTTGCAATTCAATTTTCAAGTGAAAGTCTTTAAAACTTGATATATGTTTTTAACATTACATCATTTGAAGTTTATGTAAATTAGATATTTGCATACACTTTCGTTGACTTTTCTTAAAAAAAAAGTACTGAAACTCTTTCCTACTATTACCTCGGTTGCAAATGCTGCTAAGAGTATTGTGTCAAACATGCTCGAATGAGGATTGACATGTTCCTTATTATATTATAATATGATATATATATATATAAAAATATATATCATATATATATATATATATATATATATATATATATATATATATATATATATATATATATATATATATATATATACTCACACACATATATATATATATATATATATATATATATATATATATATATATATATATATATATATATATATATATATATATATATATATATATATGTATGTATGTATATATATATATATATATATGTATATATAAATATATATGTGTATATATATATATATTATTATTATTATTACAGCATATATGCTGTATATATATATATATATATATATATATATATATATATATATATATATATATATATATATATATTATATATATTATTTTTACAGCATATATGCTGTATTCTTTATGTATATTGGTATATATACCATTGTATATATACCAATATACATAAAGAATACAGCATATATGCTGTAAAATATATGCTATAAAAGTATGTATGTATGTATGTAAAATATATGCTATAAAAACATATACCAATATATAGTTTATATATTGGTAAATGTTGTCTTCTATATACTATAAAAATATCTAAGCAATACAAAGAGACTGGCTTGGAACAGGTTTTATGCAATTGTTCATGAATTCCTGGGTAATCAAAAAGTTTAAAACCATTTGTCAGATTCTTATAAAGAATTGCGCCTTAATAAGATACAGAATGTCACTTAAAGTCCATATCCTTGATGCTCATTTTAATAAATTCACGGAGAACGTAGCTTACTCAAAACAAGTAAATTCATCAAGATATAATCAACTTAGATGTCATTATCAATGGTAGTATAACAAAAACATGACAAGGAAATTAAATTCATGGGGCACTTTGTTAAAGTGATTTACTGTATACTCATTTATATAGATAATTCATTTCTATAGTTTTTTGAGAGTTTTTTAGTCTTTTTCTATTCCATATTCAATTGTTGTTTCTTACCTGACTAAATGAACAAAAATATGAAATTTTTCTTTTTCTGTCTCAATAAAAAGAAATTTTCTTTGTTCTGTGTTCATAAAAAGTTTGTGCTTATAAAGAAAAGTTTGTTCTTATAAAGAACAAACATCTAAAGCCTGCAGAAAAACAATTCTTGTTTTTCTGCAGTCTTTAGATATTAGCAATTTTTTTACTTGAAAACGTGTAAGTGTAAGTCTTTAGATTTAAATAGTTGAATTATTTTTCACTTGAAAACGTGTTACATAGTGCAGGCTTGGTCGGGAAGCGGGAGCGATCGCTCTCGATTGCTGACCACGTAAATAATATTCAGTTGCGAAAAGCTGGCCTTTGTATGCGTTGTTTGTGTTAAGTAACCAGAAACTTCTTATGTTTGTTACATAATTAGTTTTATTAACTTTTACAATTATAACTTCATTGAAAACGCAATTATTTTTGTAAGTCTTTGTTTAAATCATAAAAATTGCTTTAAAAGATACATTACGATAAAAAACAAATACACAAAATTACGTTTACATAAAGAATGCAATCTCTTTTAAAATAAAAAATAAGAATATACTAATAAAATCTATAATTTATAATAAACTTTTAAAATTTTAACAATTTAATTAATATATATTTAAAACGTTTATTTTCGTAAACAAATAATATATATTCTTAAAACAATACTAGAAATCTCAAAACGTAACAAATCGTGAATTATACAATTTCTAAAACATTTTAACAGAATACTCTAGAACTTTATTTCGCTTAATCAGCGTATTTTTTGAACCTTTAGAATTAGTTTGTTTGTTAATTTGGCGGGTTTTTAGTTTTCGCAAATATTTTTTTTATTCTTTCGCACAAAGATAATTTGAGAACATTCTAGTTTATTATGTTTCCATGTATGTCCGTAAAACAAAAATTCTGTGTTTCGTACATAAACTTAAATGTTCTCAAAACGACTAAAAAACCTGGCCAGTTTTATGCAACTAAATATAATTTCCGTGGTCAGTATTCGAGAGCGTCCGCTTCCCGACCAAGCCTGATAGTGTAATAAATAATAAAAAAAAAAGATCTTAAATCAAAATTTTTTTTTATTTATTTCAGAAATTTAAGAATTTATTAAATTTTTGAATGTATTTTTGAAATGTATTTATCTTTATTTTTTTGTATTTAAAATAAAACTATTGTAGCATTTTTTTTTATATTAAAGGATATTGACACCTTGATGAAGAAGGTATCAGCTGGAGCTGTAGTCAATGAAGATGATATTCCACCTCCTGTTGCAATAGGTGCAAGTAAATCATTACAAGATAATGCACAACTATCTTCTGCTGATTCTCCAGTTGTATTGTCGCCTGTAGTTTCACAATTATCTGTTAATTCTCCAGTTGTATTATCGCTTCCAGAAATAAGTACTGAGATTAATCCTGTTATAGCAGAGAAATATATTGCACCTAAACAGCCTGTTGAAAGTAAGAAGTTAGATGTAGAGTCTCAATCTACATCAATAAGTAAAGATGCTGAATCCCCTATTGAATATTCAAATGTAACTTTAGAGACTTTACTTACACGCCAAAAAGAGTTTAAAGTTGAGGCATTAAAAAGTAAGCAACAAGGTGATATTGAAAGTGCAAGAAATTATTTAGCCATTTCAAAAGTATACTCTTAGTACTTTAGTTTGTTATTATTTATCATTATATTTGTTTTCCTTTTTTTTTATTTTTCAATTAATTTATTTTGTTTAGAAGTTTGATATTGTCATTGAAGCTTTAAAATCTGGCAAAGAAATTGATCTAAGAAACATGCCTGAGTTGCCTAGCTGTGAGTTTTTGAAATTTGAATAATTAAATAATATTTTTAAATCTTTTGGAAATTTAATAAATTCTTATAATTTTTATCATCATCATCATCATCATCATCATCATCATCATCATCATCATCATCATCATCATCATCATCATCATCATCATCATCATCATCATCATCATCATCAGTATATGGTTCTCTGTTCGTTATTGCAACAAGGTCATCGGCTCACAGGATTTTAGATTATTGCCGTGCCGCTCAGTATTTTTTAAATTTTTTTTCAGTATTACCAATAAGAAAGATCTAAACTTTTTAGATATGTTATTTTTGAAAAAAAATTTTGAGCAAAAACTTTAAATATAAGAGCCGTTATAAAAAATGCGTTGCATTACCGAATGCATTGAAAAAGAGGGTTTATGCATGGGGATCATAAAAATGACATTCGGGTATGTTTTTTTTATGCATTTTCTTCAAATCAAGCTATAAACTAAAGAAATCCACATTTCTAAATTTTGACATTTTTCATATCATCGTGGCGTTTTTATGTTTCTGAGTTCAAGTAAACTTTATATAATATATTAGTTAACAAAGTTTCGTACTTGGGTTTTCAAAAAAAAACGTTTAACAAAATTTTTTTTATATACATTTTTAAGAAAATTTTTTCTGCTTGATATAATATTTATTAAATCGAATGTCTAAAAAGTATAAACTTTGCTTTTAAAACGAAAAAGATTTTTTTCGAAATTTGGTTTTAACTGTGAGGTGTTGCATTACCGAAACTACTCAGGTTGCATTACCGAACTTTCTGGTTTTCGCTTATAAATGAATTTGAAAGGTCTATTTTGCAATCATTTTTAAGTTACTATTTTAAAATAAAACTTATTTACTCTTTTTTATCCAAAAAATAAAATCGATGCAAATAATAATTGTAAAATCAAACGGAAATTATTCAAAGTCTCAGAGGCATGTTATAGGACTTTCAGGGAAAGAAACGAACAATCAATTAAAACAGGGAAATTTTTTATTACAGAATATAAAACTATATATTGAACGTTTATGTAAATAAATTTTAAATAAATAAATAAAGCTTTTAATACAACGTAGTTATAGTTAACAAATGCGCTCATTTTGAATACATAAATAACACTATTTTTGAATATTTTAAAATAAAAACTTTACAACAATCTTCTGACATCTTTCTTTAAATCAAAGTAATAAATTTTTCAAGTATTTTTAAACTAATTTTGACTTTATGAAAAAAATACATACAGCAAATTGTTGTTTTAAACAATCTTCCCAGCAAAAATTTTACAGCGGAATTTTAGTAGACTTTTATAGGCATTTTAAGAGTTTCCCGCTTTTTTTCCACTGTGAAAAGGCTCATTGGTTACATAGTGGACCACAATTGGCAGTCGCCATAATGGCTAGCCAACAACTAGCTTTTATATTACATGTTGAAGAGTTATTGGCTAGCCACTTTTAGCGAATCCCTTAAGAAACCTATGAGCAAAACTCTAATTAACTGCTCAAAATGCTTATATAGGTCCATTGCAAATCCACATTAAAATAATTGCTGGGTTAATAAAAATATAATTGGTTATCATTTTCAAAGATTTTTATAAAAACACAGTTATTCATAGTTTGTTCATATATAAAAGTTTAAAAGTGTTTCATTAATTAAGTTCATAGCCTCAACCAGAGAGACTGATACTATCCTATTTAGTAAAATAGTGGGTTTTGATCACTGTTTTATTATTTTTTATAAAAAAATTGTATATACCAATTGAAAAAAAAATCATAATTTTTATCATTAAGTACATATCTTATTTAAGTTAATTGATCATAAGTTTGAGAATCATAGTTTTTTGCATAGATGCTTTAAATGCAAAGGAAATTTACCATTTTAATGTGGTCTTGTCGACGACACCCTCTAACACAAATTTTTGAAAACTTTACTTTGCAGCAATTTTATTGATTATAACTAATTTTTAAAAATCCTGATGACATTTTTTTATTGCAAAATTTAAATAAATTAAACAGAAGAGAATGGACACTAGATTTTGTAAGGTAATAAACACACCATTACATCAAAAAAAAAAGTTAACTTAATCTTTGATCAATTCGATGCAGAACTTCTTAGTCTAGCAAAAAGAAACAATTTTAACAATTTTTATGCTATAAAAAAAGTTGTTTAGGCGGTTTAGTTTCGTTGTACAGATTTTGACGACAAGGAATGTCAACACCGTATTTACCCAAGAGAAACTGAGAATTAGTGCAAATATCATTTAGAGAAAGTTCATGGTGAAAATACTTATGTAGAGCAAGTAAATATTTTTGCTACACACGCTTCAGTCTTCAACATTTTGAAACCAACTTTTACTGATTTATCTTCAGATGATTTACTAAAACACCAACGAGACACTGAACCAGATTATTTGGAGACGCTGCCCAAAACGTATTTTTGTGAGTAGAGGGGTCATTGAGTCTGCAGTTAATTCGTCTGAAATTGAATTTTATGAAGGTCCTAATGGAATCTTATTTGTACTTAATAAACTTTAACTACCAGGATATGTAACGTCTTTAAAACTTAATGATAAAAATAAAGAAGCTATCAAACGGTCTTTTCAATAGTCCACTGAACGTGTTAAAAAGAGAGAAAAATAGCTAAAAACAATTAAAAAGGCTTAGTTAGATAAAGATGATAAAGAAAGACTTAGTTAGACAAGAGTAATAAAGAAATTGATAAAGAAAAAACTCAAAATATATTCCTGGAGGGTTTTAATATGTTTATATGAACTTTTTATTATCGTTTTATTCTTTTGTTTTATATATTTGTCGTTTCCTCAAAACTAAGTTTTGCCTCGAATACAAATCTTTAAAATATGATTAACTTTAAACTCGTTTAAGCTTTGATCTAACTTTTTTTTGCGATTTTTTACATAATTAAAAAGGATTCAGTTGATTGAAGGATATTTAAAACAAAATAAGGGAAGTACTTTTTTTATGAGAAAAAATGCTGGACGAATGTTCAGCAATTTTTTCTGTTTGTTTTAAATGTTGTAACCTTTTATATATTATAAATAATAAAAAATGCTTCACTTATCTGGATTAATATACCTCATTAGTATATAAACCAATTTTCAGCTTGATATGATAAATATTTTAATCACAAAAATTGCTAGTTTTTTCACTCTTATTTTAAATAACTGGGTAATCGAGTCATTATTTTTAAGTTGATTCTTTAAAATAGTTTAAAGAACAAGATTTTTAATGAAAAATATAAATCAAAAAACTTTTTCTATCAAAAGTTTGCCTTTTCTGTGAAGGACCACCTTAAGCTTAAGAAAAAATTTAAAATTTATTTAAAATCCATACTTCAAAACAACAATTTTTACCATGTAAAATAAAAGCTGTTTATTTACAGTTTTAACAATTAAATAATGTTATTTAGAATTGAGTATTATTATTTGGAAAAAGTGCCTTAAAAGTGTAATTGTGTCAAAGAAGGTATTAGAACTAAGTGTATTTTTATCCAAAAATAAATTCAATAATGGATTTATTAGAATGGAATCTTTTTTTGGGCACGCTATATAATTTTGACCTACAAGACCCAGTTTAAACAGGGTTAAGTTGTACTAGAAATAAGATTATTTATTTAATGATCTTATCATCTTGAAACGAACGTTTTTTGTTTTTATAAAAGTTGATGCGCTTTTCTTTATACATTAAACATTAAAACGGCGCTATCTGGAAATTTAAATAGATTACAAAATATTTATGCACTTTCAACGGCCATCTCACCAAGTCTAAAAAATTAAAAGAATATCCATAGTTTTTATAGATAGGGAAAGACAAAGCAAGATATCAAACGTTTTAAAAATTTTGGGTTATTGCAAATTATAGACCAATGAAGCAGTAATATTTTGTCAGTATGCTTGTTTTATCATAATGATTCATTGCTTTCATAAGTTTTAAGTTTGCAATTAAAATAATTGGCCATTAGTCATTGGAGCAGGATAATAGAGAAAAATAAATTTGCGTAAAAAAAAAAACTACAAAATTACACCCATAAAATACCACACATTGGCATTTACCCTAAGACAATTTTATCTTTTAAGCGTGAAAAATAAAAACTTACGAGTGTATAAATACAATATTTAAAAAAAAAAAAAAACTTGGATTTTAAAACACAAGCTATATATACAGATTTGTTTCCACTCAATTTTAAATTTTAGACCCATTTCGTCATACTCTTGTTTTTTTTCAAAACTATTTGTTGTTTAACTGACAGATTTTTAGCGGTACCATACCTAATGATACGAAGCATATTATGAGAATCTTTTGTATGCTTCCAAGTAAATTTAATTTAGTTTTCATTTTAAAATTCCTGGACCTAATAATAGAGCAATTTTTTAAAATGTATATATATATATATATATATATATATATATATATATATATATATATATATATATATAATATATATATATATATGCATGTATATATAAATATCTCCTTTAAAAAAACATAGTTTTAAATGCAAATAACATTCAACTTAAAGCTGACAATCCTTCAATTGTAGATTGCATGATAAATTTCAATTTAATATTTTGATAAGTTTTAATAGTTCGTTACACTTAATTGAATTTTTTATATTGTAAAAAAAATTCAATTAAAAAAATCAACCAACTTTGTTTTAAATCAGTAATCTAACTAATATATAACAAACTTTTTTAAACTAGTATATACAATTAAATGCATGCAAATGCAATTTATAAATAAACTTTTTCAATAGTAACATATTAACAATATTTATAAACTCAAAACACATTTTTTTTTGATTAAATCTTCAGGGTTTTGTCACAACCTTTTAGGTCTAAATTTAGTCTAATATTGGAATCTAGAGTCTGTTGTTGTAAGTTGATGAAGCTTTTTAAATCTTTCATATATGACTTTATTGCTGGAACAAACACTAAATGTGAAGATATATTTAATACAATACATACATAAGTTTAGTAAAATACAATACATACATAAGTTTAGTAAAATGCTATAAAAGTTTAGTAAACTTGTATAAATATATACAAGTTTATGCATTTTATATATATATATATATATATATATATATATATATATATATATATATATATATATATATATATATATATATATATATATATATACACCAGGGATGCAGAGTCGTAAAAGGGCTCCTATGAAACAAAAAGTCCTTCAAAAGGACTCTTGCTTTTAAGCGTGAAGTCCTGGAGTCTATGCCACCTTTATACCTTGGACTTCGGGTTCAAAAATTATTGTTCTACTAATGTATAAGTCTTGATTTTTTTCCCCATTAGTAGCCCTTAGGCCTTTTTATATCTTTAAAGCTACTGGATACCAAAAACTAGAAAGAAGTAATCTTTTTGTGTACTTTAACTCCGCTGTCCTTTTTAGGGATTCCGCATCCATCATATATAGATAAATTTTTCATATAATATATGAAAAATTTATATATATAAATTATGAATTTATACCTAAAAATTATGAATATTAATTAAATACAAATTATGACTATTATATACATAAAAATATATATTCAATAAGAGCAAAATTAACTATAAAACCTCATGATATCTTTGTACAAATATACAGGATCAAATTGATATAGTCTTTAAAACCACGAAAATTAGTTTGTGTTGTAATTGTTGAAGATGATTGATTTTTAAACTTTAAATGTTGTTTTGATAACAAATCTTCAATGTCTGAATCAAAGCATTAATAAATTACATGCCATTTTTAGAAAAATTTAAATAAGCACTTTTAAATTTTTCTGAGAAATGACACATTTTAATTGTATTCAAATGCGCATTTTTACACATGATGTAATATTGAGTGAGATATTATTGAAAGGTATGCTGTTGTAAGGCTTCAGATGTTGGCATCAATAGAGTGAGGTATTTTAAAAGTATGATCCAGAAGCTTAAAAACATCTAAAAACAAATAGATTTATAAGTAACTTTAAAAATTTGAACTCTATAACAATCACAGAACATTAAAAAGTACTTTAAAGAGCACAGTTTAGTTTTTTTATTTTCCCCAGGATAAAAAACTTAACTATCTCTTTATTTCAAGTCTTTTTTTTAAACTTTGCATAGTACATTTTGTTTGATTGTGCGAATTTTCACTACAATAAAATTATAGTTGCTGTAAGTATCGTAATTTTAACTAACTTTTAGGACAAGTCTAAAAACTAATTAATAATTTAAAAGCTAGGTAAAATAATCAAGTTTTCCATGAATTTCTAAAATTAAAGAATAGAAAAAGCAAAAATTAAAGTATAGCGAATATTATAATATATAAGCAAAAATTAAAGTATAGTGAATATAAAAAATTAGTGAATTTCTTTGATTTTAAAGTGGAATTGAATAGGGATTGTCCATAAATTATGCAACGCTAAATTTCACTAATAAACAAAACATAAGAGATCAAAAGTTTTTTTCTAAAAGTTTTGTCATGTAAAAGAATTAAATATTATCTACTTCTTTTTTTAAAATAAACTTTGCATTGCAAAATATATAGACAATCCCTAATTGAATGTTTAAACATTTGTGAAAACAACTTTGAAAAAGATATGAAATATGTTACAAGAATAACGACATTTATCTTCTTCATCAGGTTTTAAAAGTTACTCTTGAAATTATATTTTAAAGAAAAAAATAAAGTTGCTTTAACATTCGAAACTTAACTGAACTGCACATTTGTTTGAAATTAATTCAGCGGTCAGGAAGATGTTTGAGAAACTTTAATAATTTTTAAACTAACTTTAATAGATAGTTTTGATTAAACTTGCCAAATAAAATAGTAACATTTAAACTAAACTATTATAAATATGGTAAAACTATTTAATGTCTTTTAATTTCAAAATAAGCATCATTACCTTTTAAAGAAACAAAAGATAATAATGTATGAGTATGATTAAAAGTTTTCGCCAGATATATTACTTAAATACACATAATAATAGAAGAGAATACACATAAAAAATACACATAATAATACAAGAGAAAAATTTAATTTTTTTAAACAAAATCTTTATATTTAAGAAGTAGACAACATAGCTGTTGTAAATATAAATTAAAATCTTTGAAATTATATGATTACTGTTTAAAAATATACCATCTATAATTTTAACACTATATTCGTAAATAAAAAAAAAGAAAATAACTAAATTCTTATTTAAAAATTACTTGCAAATAACAAGTTCTGCATCTAAACTTTGTCAATAGAGTTCTTTAAAATAGCCATCTCTAGATTAAATTTTGTCTTGAGTAAAAAGGACAAAATCTAATCTAAAAATAATCTTTATGAATAAAATCTTATAATTTTGTAAACAAATACTAAACAATTACATACTTAAGAAATAAATAATAGTATATTATTGATAACATTATTATAAGCTGGCTAAATTTGTAATGTTTAAGGTGAAATTTTAAGTAGACGTTATCTTCCATAACTTAGATTCTAGCTATCTAGTGTCAGAGTGGTTTAAATGAACTTTTACTCAATTGTTGAGTAGAAATCAATATAAATTACTTTGATTCAAGCCAGCTTATACCTTTTAGGTATATCACAAACTGATTTGTAAAGTTGGATAAACTTCAAAATTGATTGTACTTGAAAATATCTGTACACTTTTTAGTTAATAGCTTTTTTCGTGTAAAATTTGTAAATAAAAATTAAATAAAAAAATTTTAAAACTTTAAACACATGTATAATTATATAGGCTACTGATATATATTAGATTTCCATAAATTTACTTCTCAAAAATACAATTTTGTTTTAATATCAATTTTTTACTTCACTCACCAAACAAATTTTTGTCTGCCCAATTAACTTTGAACGAAAATTATTTTGAGCCGGCTGACGACGTAACAACTTAAAAATTATTCAAGTTACAAAACCGAACACGGAGTTGCAATAGCGAACAAAAAAGTTGCAATAACGAACAAGAGATGCTTTACCGAACAAGCGCGTTGCGATACAGAACATTTTAGTTGCATTACCGCACATCCACATGATCATCATCATCATCATCATCATCATCATCATCATCATCATCATCATCATCATCATCATCATCATCATCATCATCATCATCATCATAATCAACATCATCATCATCATCATCCTCATCAATATATGGTTTTCTGTTTGTTACTGCAACACAGTCAACTGCACACTATGGAGGCTGCAATTTTTATTTTTTTATTTTTTTATTTTTAAACATCTTCGCTTCCAACAAGGCTGCAAGCAACCACTAATTAGTGTTGGAAGTTACTGGAAGAGAAAAGATGAAGATTGTAGAGCAAGATAACAATTTTTTTTTTTTTTTTTTTTTTAACATCTTCACTTCCAACAAGGCTGCAAGCAACCACTATAAGAGTTGGAAGTTACTGGAAGAGAAAAGACTAAATCTGTAGAGCAAGATAACGATTGACTGATGACTTAAAAGATTGCAAATTATATGAATCAGGAAAGCAAGATGAAGGAAGCGAATTCCAAAGAACTGATGTTCGAGGAAAAAAACTAGAAGAATAAGAGTTTTTGAAGCACTTAGGAACAGTCACAGAAAAAGGATGAGACTTAATTGAATGGCAAGTAAAACGAGAGTGAATTTTAGTAGATGGCACAAGGGACGCTAGCTCTTTAGAGCAGTGCCCATTATAGTATTTGTAGAAAAGAGAAAGAGAAGCAACATTACGACGATGTGACAAAGGTTGGAGATTGGCTGCAAGAGCAGGTCCAACTATGTTTACAATTCGTTTTTGCACCTTGTCTAAAAGAGAAAGAGCATCATTAGAAGATCCGCCCCAGATGTGGCAACAGTATTCCATACAGGGACAGATTTGAGATTTATAGAGATAGAGAATAGAATCTGGAGTAAGAAAGTGTCGAGCTCGATAAAGAGATGCAACCTTAGCAGATGCTAATTTTGCAATGGATTTGATATACGGTTTAAAAGAAAGATCAGAAGTAAGAGTTAATCCTAGAAGATGAATGGTAGATGACTCATCTAGTACATTACCATTCATAAATATAGGAAGATCTAAATTATTACGATAACGATTGGCCGAATAAAATTGAGTTTTATCTGAATTAAAGTTCACCAGCCACTGTGAGCCCCATGCTGTAGCAGAAGTGAGATCCTTTTCAAGCTCAGATACCCCCTCCAAGCAATCAGAGAGTGTAGGCTTCTTATCATGACAAGAGTAAATGGTAGTGTTGTCAGCGAATAATGCCACCTTAGATGTGAGAATATCTGGAAGATCGTTAATGTAAATTAAAAAGAGTATAGGGCCAAGGATTGAACCTTGAGGAACCCCTGAAGTTACAGGATGTGAAGAAGAGTGTTGTCCATCAAGGACAACTTTTATACTACGATTGGAAAGAAAGGACTCAATAATCTTAAAGACGTTACCAGCTACACCATAAGAAGAAAGCTTATGGAGAAGACCAGCATGCCAAACTTTATCAAAAGCTTTAGAAATGTCAAGTGCGATAGCCTTAACCTCTCCACCTCTATCTAATGCACGGTAAAACCTATCGGTTATTACTGTTAGCACATCAGCTGTAGAACGAGAAGACCGAAATCCATATTGATGATCAGAAAGTAAGTTATTTGATTCAAGATGAGAGATTAAGTGTTTGTTGATTAAAGATTCAAAAACCTTGCTTATGACAGGAAGAAGACTAATGGGACGGTAGTTAGATGAATCAGATCGCTCTCCGGAATTTTTGAAAATAGGGATAACAGATGCTGCTTTCCAGCATGATGGAAAACAAGACTCTGATAAGCACTTGTTAAATAGTTTAGAAAGTATGGATGAAAGCTCCGGAGAACACCTCTGCAAAACTACAACAGGAATGTTGTCAGGACCACAAGCTGTTGAAGAGTCTAAGCAGCAAATTACTTTAGATACAGAAGCTGAAGTGATGCGAATGTCAAGCAAGGGATCAACCTGTTTGACGGCTATGTCAGGTAAAACGCAACTAGTGGAATCAAGAGATGATATTGATGAAAAGTTCTTAGCAAACAATTCAGCTTTGTCTTTAGGTGAGGTGACAAAGTCTGAACCATACAAGAAAGAAGGAATAACAGATTTGCCCTTATTATTGATACTGTTAAAGATTCTCCAGAAGTCTCGAGAGCCTAATTTTTGTGATGAGATACGAGATTTAATGACCTGGGAATAGCGAGCTTTGGCGTCAGACAAAACCTTTTTACAATGGTTTCTGGCGATAGTGAACAGATGTCTGTTTTCTGGAGAATTGTTTTGCTGATAGATATGGAAGTAACGGTTTCGATTAGAAATTGCTGCAGCGCAATGTGAGGAAAACCAAGGAGAAGAGTGAGGCTTGACCTGGAATCGTCGAGAGGGAATAAAAGATTCCATGCCAGCCTGAATCCACGAAGTTATGTAAGAAGCACATTTGTCAGCAGGAAGACGAAAGATTTCTACCCAAGGGCCATCACGAAGAAAATCACGGAAAGAGTCCCAGTCAGCTTTAAGGTAGTTGTATGTGGTACGATGATAGGGGGATTCTGATGAAGTAGAAAAATTTGATAATAGTTTTAGAGAGATCAAACCGTGATCAGAAGTACCTAAGGGTGAATGTGGAGAAATTGAGCACTGACTAGGATCCAAAACAAGACATAAGTCGAGTAGAGAAGGTAAATGATTAGGGTTGTCTGGAAAACGAGTTGGAAAGTTGACTATTTGAGTTAGAGATTGAGAAAGGCAAAAGTTGAGGGCCTTAACGCCAGCAGAGTCACTGACACTAGAGCCAAGCCAATCGGTGTGATGGGCATTAAAGTCACCAACAATGACGATATTGGCCGATGGATAAAGAGAGAGGGCTTGGTCAATTTGTTCAGAAATAACATCAAGAATAGTGCAGTCTTGGGATGAAGGAGAGCGATATAGAACAAAGAGAAAGGCGATAGAGTGAAGTTGTGCTAAACGAAAGCACATAAATGAATAGTCTGTAGATTCAAACCTAGTTTC